ATATCTACCAACCGCCCCACACGGTCAGATGTGGCACAGGACCGAATTTAATGTGGGGTATCTGAGCCCGTAGGCTCGGCCAAAAATTCACCATATACCCCATATAAAACGGGGTCGGGTAGCTGTTTCCCGAGACGAGACTCTTCCCTTAGATATAGCCTCGTCTGGGGATCCTCTCTGCACAGAGACGGAGAGTTTGTCCAGATCAGTTGGAGACGAATCTCTAACTGCAGACCAACATACAGTATTTACTATTATGTGAATGGGGACATATACATTATCGTCCGTAGGTATGTTACAACAAGTGTGTTGGGGGTGGATTCATACCTCCGGTATTTGTATGAAAGTGAATGCAATAAACATGTAATAACAATACAAGTTAACATTATAATTTGTTTACTAATGGCCATAGACAAACGATTAGTGTGACTTCCATGAAAAACGATGAAAACAACAGAATCACAAATTATTAATTGTTAACAATGCATCATTTAATAAGAATTTGTGAGTGTTTTATCATTTATTTGCCAAAGGCTTTAGCTAGACTGACCGCCTAAGTCGCTATCAGTAAAAGCGGCTGAAATTAAGGCAAAAGAGTTGTTGACAAGTCTTCATTTAATAAAAATTCAAGATAATGTTACAATTTGTTTTCTCATGTCTGTAGGCCATCTGTCTGCGAAACAGCGATGAAAAGCAGATAAATATAACATGAAAAGAAATACAATCAAAAAATAATAATGGTTGACGTGGTCTAATTAAATATTTGGAATAAAATTAAAATTTGTTTACTAAGGGTTGCAGACTCACGGTATGTTTTGTAGAGTTACTATGAAATGCAACTAAAATTAAGATGAATGAAATACGGTTAAAAACTTAACATTTCTGATAAGGCTTCAGTTAATAAAAATTCGTGCTAATGTAATTTGTTTGCTAATAGCTAATGTTATTAATTACTTAATATTATCATTATTAAAACTTTACATTGTTTGGATTGCTGTCTTGATCTCTAATGTTATATTTAAGACGTAAACAATACTATCGGAACTTTCGAGTTATTACAATTAAAATATTTTAAAGGAACACAATTAGCTGGACAAAAAAGTAAAGCAAGCATTTTATTCACTTGCTTACAACTACGTCTGCAAGTTCGTTATAAAAGGAGTAATTACGTCGATATGAAGTGCAGACTCCCTCTGTTGGTCATCCGGTAACACCAAGCTATATTACTTTACATGGGGTAAAGAAATTCCAGCGTGAATGAGATATGATTTTTTTTTCTTTCGTGTAATACGGACGCAAGCCCAGCTACAAAAAAACGCATATCCACGCACACTTAAATGGGCCTATTTGGATTATCCTTCCCCTTTGCTTTTCAAAAAAAAAATTTTTTTATTTACTTGAACTGTGTAATTTAAAAAAAAAAAAAGATTTGATTCCCGAAAAGACTTTCATATAAAAGACATTTTTACTCATAACATTATGTATGTTCATTATATATACAGGGGTTTGACAGAAAAATGTGAACACTAGCTTAAACATTTATTTTTTAACTAATAAGGTGTTGGACCTCCATTAGTTTCTAATTATTTTACCTGAAGATAAATAATAATTTAGTTAGAAAAGCAAGGTAGAGAATATAAGTGCCGAACAGTTACCTTTTATGACGATTTGATGTCTATAAATACACTGAAATGCCGAAATTGAAAAAATGCTATTTTTCCAAGCTGTTCACATTATTTTGTCTAGTCCCTGTATATTACTATTTACACTACTTACACTGTTTGTATTGTTGTGTTCATTTTAATGCCATATTTACGACGTTTCGGCCATTGTTAATTCTCTTTAGCAATTCAACTCTCTAAGTTTTTGTCCCACAAACCTCGGAAAAGGGGAATTAACTGAAACGGAGATATCCAGAAAAGTCATGGCACATGGAATTAGAAAAATCTACCCTCTTGGACTAAATGAAGAGTTTGGTTCGAAATTCCAACGTATATTACCTGAAGAAGACCGGTGCGTACAACGGTCGAAACGTCGTGAATATAATAATAAAGATGCGGACAACAGTCCAAACAATGTAAATAGTGTAAATCGTTACAATACCTCATCTTAGAAATATAGACATATATATATCACTGTTTATATTTTTTCTGTGTTGAATCTCATTTGTCTTAGCTGCATTTAACTTCTGCGTATGTTTTTCACTGAACTCCATAACTGCACGTTTCCATGTTAGAAATCGTTTTTCATATATCTCGCGGCATTTAAGAGTTTGCCTGATTTCCTTAAATGTTGTCTGTTGATAAATGCGATGTAATCATTATTAGATTGTTTCATTGCGTAATGATACTGTTACAAATATGGGTAAATAGCAGCACAGACTAGGCCCTATGGCCTTGGTTGGCAACCAGTCTAGGACAAGGGAAACTCTGAATTCAAACCACCTGCTGCCTTGTAGGTCCTGCCTCTTTAACTTCTGAGAAGATGGACGGGCTAGCTTTAATATCCTCGGTACAAAAGGAACCGACAAAACATTGAATGTCACCATGAACCACAATTGTGAAATAGAGTGGAGTGGTGACTAACTGAATAAATGATACAGTATTTACATTAGTCGGACTATTGTCCTCATCTTTGTCGCCATATTTGTCACAACGTTTCGGCCGTTGTACGCTCCGGCCTTCTTCAGGTGGTTGGAAGTTCATACCCCGATGTCCTCAATTTCGGCATTTCAGTGTATTTATAGACATCAAATCGCCGTAAAAGGTAACTGTTCGGCACAGTGGATAAAGGCGTTGGTTAGATCCAGTGACAGACCCAAAGAAGGTGAGTTCAATTCCTGGTTAAGGCAGTGGAGAACTTTCAGAGGGAAAATTAGCAGGAGATAACTGATAATTGACATCCATCAAACATGGCACGTGGAATTAGAACAGTCTACCCCAGCGATCGAAATATAGAAAAACTCTGAATAGAGGATGATGATCGTTACAAAAATTCGCTAACATAAATTTTGAGCATCAATTGTTTATTCTTTCCGGTTCAGTGCCATTTTGTCTCGTCTAACAACATTTAATTAATAAAAAGTAAGGAACTAAAAACAATTGCTCAAAAGTTTTCATAGTTATTTAATACAGACTAGTTTCGTTTAAACCTTATTATCCATTTCACAGTCAAAGATTAGAATATTGTCTACAAGTCGTGGTCAGATAAAATTCATGATAATATTAAAATGTTTTTAATAATGGCTGTAGACTAGGAGCTAGAGGAGGTATGATGAAACTCAGCTAAAATTAAAATGAAATTAAAACAAAAATTAATAATAGTTGATAAGACTATATCTCATAAAAATTGAAGATAATAACACTATTTGTATAATAATGGCCGTAGATCAACGGTCTGAGTAGCTGCAATGAAAAGCAACTAAAATTAAGATGAAAGAAATCCGGTGAAAAATTAAGAATTGCTGACAAGTCTACATTTAATAAAAATCAAGACAATATTTGTTTATTAATTCAGTGATATCAACGGTTGAACCAACGGATGAAGACGGCTACGCATGATGGACATGCTACAGAAGGCGTCATTCGAAATTATAACAGAGTGAGCGGCAGTCCATTACAGTTTCATAACTAGATTCTGCATGTCTCATTTCATATTTCTCACAGAAGAAGGTCATAAAATCAAGTGTGTGGGCCACTTCTTGGCAAGTTAAGGTCCATTTTAAACAAATTCACGCCATCGGTACTTTCTTCTATTCTTTCGTCTTTTCTTTCACCTTCAACCAATTCTTACAAAGCCAAACAGCAACAGGGAATGAATAACGGGAGCAGGTTTTGGTGATCATTGAGGTTTATGCCAGGTAACTTAATGTTATAGGAAAGATAAACGCAATCCCTAATTCCTTGAGAAACAAGAAATGTATAAAATGAAAGTTTTGATGCATAAAAAATCCAGTATTAACACCCCAGGGTTTCTAAGAAATGAAGAAATAACAAAAAAATTAATGAGATTTTAGATGAACGATTTAAAAGTAATATATGTAGTATTTATGGGTAAAGAAAACCTTAAGCATGAGTAATCAGCGAGAAAAGTGAAGATAAAATTAATGAAAAATATACACAAATCAATTCTTTTTTGCAGTAATAGATGAAAAAAAAAATGAGAAATTATGGACATTCTCTTCACAGATGAAGAAGAGACCTGAAGTGACGGAGATGTGGTTCTAGTAACAAAAGCTGAGAATACCATAGACAGAATATGTGAGCAAATATGAAGGTTTAATAAGAACAGGAACTACAATGACAATTGCGTTAACAATCAGTAAAAAAACAAAACAAAAAAAAAAAACTGAAATTTCTAGAACACACAATGAAGAAAGAAGGCTTGGAGAATTTAACACTCACATGCCATATTGAATGCAAGTAGTGGAGAAACAGTAGCCTACTTAACAAGTTGGAGATGGCGGAACAAAGACAAAGGGAGATAATAAAGAAGCAAGAATCAAAGCAAGCAAAAATGGAAGTTGTAGAGAGTTATGACCAACTGTCTCCTGAAAGAACTTGGCATATAAAAGATGAAGGTTTAGTGGTCATTTTTTTTTCTAATAGCCACATCAATTGTTTATTATTGTTTTGGAAATTTGGCTGACCATTTCTTTAAAAAAAACTTAAAGTTGAAAACTTATACAAATCGGGCATAAAATGTTAACCCTTAGAACATTAATTGATTTGCTAACTCCGTTTTTACGTTTTATCAACCTTTTGCAGGTTATTTAAAGTCAGACAATATTTTTAGAATTTATTTTTTAAAAATAATAATGGTTTAGTGATACAAGTCTTACTAATTAAAACATAGCTGGAAAAGAAAAGATGGATTCATGCCTTTCACAAGGGTATTTTTGCACACAAGTGAGTATAATGGACCAAACAGGAATTGCAACTAGGCTCTCCGATTAACAATTCCGAGCCATTATACCAACCGCACACCCAAGCTTATTATTCTGGTATTCTTAAGCGGTCACCCATCTAGGTACTGACCAAACTCGACGTTGCTTAACTTCGGTGATCGTACGAGAACCGGTGTTTCAACGAGGTATGGCCGTAAGCCATTCCGTCCATACATCCCAACTTACAGCACATGATATTCCCAAGCGGTTACCTATCTAAGTACTGCCCAAGCTCGATGTTGCTCAACTTCAGTGATCGTTCGGGTACTAGTGTGTCAACGTCAAAGTCCCAATCAAGACAGAGTTTGTCTAAAAACAATACTTATTTTGTTTTTATTTATTTTGTGTATTACGTATTTCACATTATTTACATTCAGACTAATATCCTCATCTTTGTTGTGATTTCAAATTCAACGATAACATTTATTAAACTTAATGTATGTAGTACTAATAATCAAGAAAACTCTTAAAAAGAGTAATATGAAAGAAAAAAAACACAAAAGAAAATTACTGGAATATATATATATATATATATATATATAAGATAGGATCGTCTATCGCCCGGTTCGCACACCTCCCCACTGTTTTGAACAGGTGTAGATGCTTATCCGTTGTTCTCTGTGTGGGATTGGGTTTCTGGTTACTTATAAAGTATTTTCATTCTCTTTCACTGCCAGTAGCCGCTTGCGTCTTAGTAGCATTATTGATTTAAAAAATTCATTTTTCTTTAATCATAATGAAGATTGTTTGAAAAAAAAAAAACTAAAAAAAAACCTTGATCTAATTAATACATTTCAATAAATTTCCATCGTAGAAAGAAGGTTTTTATTTTGTTCGAAGTCAAATATACAAATCATTCATGCGTATGACGAATATTTGTGTCCTTTTTTAATTAAAAAGATCAAATGCCTAACTACAGTGTAGTGAATATACAAATTATTTGAAATCATTTTTCTCCAATAAAAATCGATGCGCAAAACCCCCTTCATCAGAAAGCCTCCTTTTCAGAAACTATACAAAGTACTTTTGACTCATACTTTCGGCCCGTGTATGTAACCACAGCGCTGGAAATCACCCTGTAGTAACAGTAGTAGTTGCACTGCAGCTAGATGTCGTTGATTTTCGTAATTTTTAGAAACAAACGACGCGATCTGCTGATTTGTGATTGGATAGTTTCTGGCATTTCTTTTGCTTATAGCTAGGAGTAAGGCCAATGCACTCCTCATTTTATCCGGAGACCTCGGTGAACGGACGAACTGAACAAACAAATAACTCGCATTAGTGAAAGAATTCTCTTCGCCACTACGAAACGTAGTTGGCCCATCACATAATACAAGGGCGTTGTCTTATTGCTGATAGATTCAAGAAAGGAAGACAGAAAAAATAAAAAAATAAAAAATAAAAAAAGAAGTTGATATAAATAAGAAAACTCCCACTGAGACAGTGGTTAAAAAAATAAAATAAAATAAAAACAAACCAAACCAATAACAACCAACCAAAACAAATAAAGCCAGAAAAAAAGGTACAGATCATCAGGTAAGTGAAAATATTTCCTGAATTTTTTTTTCTAATTAACAAAAAAAAAAAAAAAAAAAAAAAAAAAAAAAAAAAAAAAAAACAACAACAAGAAAAGGAGTAACATTTATTGTTGGGAGATAAGGTCACTTTTCTCCCCCACTACCTCCAACTAAATTTGTTCAAACATATCTCCTGGGTTATACGGCACTTCAACGTGGTGTAATAGTTAACAAGTTTGCCTCGCTAGATCAATTATGACTGTGTAGTGAGTTCGATCCTTACTGGCCTTGTGTTGCATCTAAACCCATACCTTCTGGATCATAGATGCGAAATTGAGGTTTCCTGTTTTGTTAATGTTTATCTAGACACAGTTGTAAATCTATATATAAATAATTTAGAGGCTAGTATGCCATCAAATACACCACTAGTTTTTTATTTATTTATTTAATTATACTTCCTATTTCAGCAGCGAAACAACTTTTTGTAAATAGGTATTGATTCAGATATCACTGTAGACCTGTCACCAAAGTGTTTTCAGGTCGGCTTTTAAATCACGGGGCCGTATGTAAGAATGTACGCAGTAAAAATAGTTTTTTAGTCATTTTCACAAGGGTAAAGGCAAAGTACGGGCCTCTCCTAGGGCTGATTTATAATCAATAATTTAACATAATATCAATAATTTAAAATAATCTATGAAAAAAAAAATCATATCCCAGTACTAACAAATCTAAGAGATTATGAAATACTTGGATAAAGGATTATTAATCAAAGTTAATTTAGTTTAGCACAAGGCCATAATTAAGGAGCACTTAGTGAAAATCGAACTCCTTACTCTCTAGGAGACCGAGCTGAAGTGATTGATTCGTACTCTATTTTTCTGATAACCCTTACGCACCCCCCCCCAAAAAAAACAAAATCAATCTAACCATCCAATATATACCTTGTTTTATTTTGTTCGAGTATTAACACATCCTAAGTAGCCATGTATTACTTCTACGCTTAGAAAATCATTATTGAATATCCCATACTTTCAGTCGTGTGCCACAAATAAGTTACGCTTAGAAAATCATTTGGGCACTCCGACGTTGTGTAATTGTTAGCAAATGTGTCTCGCTAGATCAATTACGACTAAGGAGTGAGTTCAATTCTGACTGGATGCTCCACACCGGCCTTATTCCCTATCTAAGTTATGCTTAGGAAATCATTATTGGATACGCCATACTTTTAGCCTTGTGCCACATCTAAGCGTAGCTTAGAAAACTATTTGGGCAAATCGACGTGGTGTAATTGTTATCAAACGTGTCTCGCTAGATCAATTACGACTGAGTAGAGAGTTCGATCCTTACTGGGTGTCCTACACATTAGGCCTTATTCCACATCTAAGCTACGCTTAGAAAATCATTATCCTAAGTAGCTATCTGTATGAATAAAATTTGTCAATTACTACTTTTCGTTATATTGTATTTGGTAATGAGTTTGTCTGACAAACTTGCTTAAAGTGTTTCTTTCGGAATTAATGAGATGTAGAGTTATTATTATTTACATTATGTACACGTGAACTATTGTCCCCAACTTTGTTGATGTTATAAGAACGTTTCGGTTGTTGCACCCTCTACCCTTCATCAGGCGATTGTCAATCCTGGTGACCTTAAAGGAATTTAAAAATGAACCCGTTATTTAATCAACGGTAGTATATTGTTCTCGTCCCGCTATCTATATCTAGGTATATCTCGTCTAGTTCTTCTGTAGTAGTTGAGAGTTCAATCCCTAAGCCGAGCAGTGTGTACTTGGACTCAGTGGAAACGGGGCGAGCAATAACTGATCAGGATTAAATAAGAACAAGATGAGATATCGCTTGACAGCAGAACTTCTGTAGTTTAAATAAAGGGTCCAGTTCGATATTCTTTGAAGTTTGCCCGCATCGACAATCGCCTGAAGAAGACCAGAAGACACAACAGCCGAAACGTTCTTCTAACAACAAAAAAGATAGGGGATAAATAAATTTAAATAATTTAGGGGCTATTTGCAATCAGACTAATATCTTCATCTTGATTGTTATAATCATGGTGTTTCAGTTGATGTATTCTCTGGCCTTCTTCAATATCACGTTCATTATTTTTAGTACTCTTCAATTATTGATGGTTCTATTTCTACTGAGGTTAACTCTATACCACTCTGGCCAGGGATTGAACTCACAATTACTGTCACCAAATACAGATAGAAATTAAAGCAGACTTGGACCTCCGTGTCCGAAAAAAAAAGTGTGTCAAAAGGACAGTTTTTTCATTGTCACCGCTATTATTATAACTACTTTCACTCCTCGAAAATGTTTATTGTTTTAAAAAGCGATGATTAAAATTGTAATAAAACCTAAACATTTGATGAAAGTGAATTGATACATTTTATGGTTTGTTCTTGAGAATTTACGACAAAAATATTAAACACTATTTATTAGATTGTCTATTTACAAGAATAATTTTATATTTAAAACATTGTAAAAACTAATGCAATGTGCTATTTATTATTTCCCAATTTATAAGAATATAAATATGAAAACAATTTTGTATTCATAAATTTATGAAAATTTACTAAATTATTAAAATATGTGAATCAACTATAAGGAAATCCTTATTGTTTACCATTTTATAAAGTTCAAATCAATTCCCAATTAGCCGATGTTTTGCCAACCATTCCAATAAACAATATAATAAATAAATATTGTAAATAAACAATCAAATAGTGTTTAACATTTTTGTTGTAAATTTTCAAGAACAAATAATTTGTATAAATTCATTTTCATATATTTAATTTTTATTAAAGTTCCAATCTTCGCTTTTTAAAACAATATTGCCGAGGCGTAAAGGTAATTAAAATAATTGCGGTGTCAATGGAAAAACCGTATTTTTGCTACTCCATTTTCTTTTTTTTTCCTTTTTTTTTTTTTTTTTTTTTTTTGGTGGGGATACATTTTCATTCATAAATGATGTCAGATTTTATTATGTAATGTTTTTTAAAAAAATTAACCAACTAACGTTTGTAAAATTCTCAAGGTATGAGCAATATATGCTGATCTTCTTTTCTGAGCCGTGTCCATTCAGAACATAGGGGATCATGGCTCTTCACAATTTCCTGCCCTTTGTAGCTCTTAATAAATTTTGTCTTTTTGTTATTTTCCCTAAACCTTGTTCCGCCATCCATTTACTCAAGCTAAGTATGTTATGCGTTGTTTTCCTCCACCCCTCTTGCTTTCAATCTGTCCTGTGAGTATCAGATTTTCCAAGCCTTTTTTTCTTCATGATGTGCCCTAGAACTTTCAACTGTCTCTTTCTGATATTAAGTATAAATTTCCTTTCTGTAACCATTTACTCTAAAACTTCGTCGTTGCTTGCATATTCTGTTCATGTTGTCCTCAGCATCCTTCTATAGAACCATATTTCTGTTGCTTCAAGTCTCTTCTTCATCTGCGATGGGATTGCCATATAGGGGGACTGATATTACATGAAAGTTCAGTACACTTTTCTTTGTTTCTTAATACTTTGCTTAGCTTTTGGATGGTATCTTTTGATCTCCCAATGCGCCATCAGATCTCAGTGTCGCGCTTTCCGTTCCCTTTTAAACCTAGATATTTAAATTTTTATACTTGTTTGATTTTGGCATTTCCCATTTGCAATTTGCATCTAGAGCTCATTCTTTGCTAACAACCATGTGTTCTTTCTTCTTGCAGTTGATGCTTGATCCTTTCTTTTCACTTTCCTTTACTACC